TCATGATGTAATTAAGGCATCCATCAGAACCCTGAAACATTGATCACAATATTTAGTAACTCTTATACTTTTGATTGCTTATAGAAGTGAAATATCCAGTTAGAAATGGTAATAAGAAGTAGTGAGTGTGGATGCCACTAATATTATTCTATAATCTGAGATAATAGAAAGAAATTAACCCCACATCTTTATTGGTATGAGTTAAATTTCTATTGGATTCAATGGGGGTGTACAGGCAGTCCTTGTCATATGACCACAATTGATCCCCAAATTTCTGTGACTAAGCAAGACATTTGTTCAGTGAGTTTTAGCCCATTTTATGACTTTTTCTGCCACAGTTGTTAACTGAATCGTTGCAATTCTTAATTTAGTATCATGGTGATTAAGTGAATTTGGCTTTCCCATTGACTTCATTTGTCAGAAGGTTACAAAAGGGGATCACATGACCCCGCGCACTGCAACCATCATAAATATGAGTCAGTTGCAAAGCGTCTGAATTTTTATCACAAAATGAAACTTTTTAACAAAATGTTTAAAAGTTATGATATTTATGTAGTTACTTACCAAGCACATCTAAATTCTATTAAAGTAACCAAAATATCTTTACGATCCCCAAGGCCTGTGTTAACTTTTGAGCACTCCTAATGTTTGGAAATTGAAAGCTGAAATATTTCACATGCTCTAATTTTGGATGCTGTAATGGTCATGTCACTTTTTTCGTTGCTAAATGAACTGTTGTTATGTCGAAGATAAAGGATTGTAGTCCACCAAATCAAGATCCCAATGAACTTCAATTTGTGCTTTACCTTATTGCTTTATCTTCTGTACTTTCAGGATGGGGGGCAGACAAATCCGTCTACAGTGAGACAATCTTTTGGCGGTGTTGGCAAAAATCTAGCAGGTAATTTATTCTAATTGTTTCCACAGTGGGTGGGTGTATACAATTTCTACCGTAGTTCCCTCTGACCAATCCAGATCTGTTGGACTACCTCTCCCCCTCCCTCTGTTAGCACGGCATCAGATTAGGGAATGCTGTTTCATTGTATAATTCACTTTAAAGCTTGCCATTATAAAAATACAGATCTTATTCAATTTGCTTCATCTTCATGATATAATTAGTATAATAGTGTACCCCCAACCTGCAAGCATCCATGGCACTGGATATGGTTGGAAGAAAAATAACAATAGCAATAGCACTTAGACTTATATACCACTTCATAGTGCTTTACAGCCCTCTCTAAGCGGTTTACAGAGTCAGCATATTGCCCCCAACAATTTGGTCCTCATTTTACCGACCTCAAAAGGATAGAAGGCTGAGTCAACCTTAAGCCTGGTGAGATTCAAACTGCCAAATTGCAGGCAGCCAGCAGTCAGCAGAAGTAGCCTGCAGTCCTGCACACTAACCATTGCGGCACCAAGGCTGAAAATGGCGGGAGAGATAGCTATGATGTGCTCTAAGAAGGGAAGTTCTGCAAATAATAATATAATTCAAAATATGCTGTTCAAGAGTCAGCTGCTTTACTCTTGGTCTCCACGCATGCACTGCACTATGCTTCCTCTCTCTTCATTGTAGAATTGTAGTTTAGTTTCAACCCTCACCCAGCCTAGCCCCTAACCGTAACTTACGATACTCACTCTCTTTTCCCAAACTCTATTCTTGAGTCACAGCAAACAAATTTACTGGGATAAGAAAACAGGCTTCATAGAATTCTCTATAGAATAGAATTATTTATTTCCCAAGCGCGATTGGACACCCAAGAAATTTGTCTTTGGTTCATATGTCCTCAATGTACATAAAAGCTACAAGTGATAAATCATGATCATAGTGATCGTAAAAATACATCCATCGTAAATCATAAGATGCAACACTTAATGGTAGTCCATAGGATACTAAATAAGCAATTTATCTAAATCAGTGATGGCAAACCTTTTCAGCACCAAGTGCCCAAACCGGAACACGTGTGCATGCGCGCACCAGAGCACTGGAAAGCCGAAGACCAGCTGGCTAGTGTGTGCATGCCTTTTTTTTGCTGTTTTTCAGGCCATTTTCTGCTGTTTTCATGCCAAAAATGGCCAGAAAAATAGCCAGAAAAACAACCAGAAAATGGCCTGGTTTGGGGGCATTTTCCAGGCCATTTTCTGGCACTCTGGCACTCATGAAGGCCAGCTGGCCAGCACACATGTGTGTGCCAAAAGCCAGAAGAGCAGCTGGTGAGGGTGCCGGTGCCCACAGAGAGGTCTCTGCATGCCATCTCTGGCGCACGTGCCACAGGTTTGCCATCACGGACCTAAATCATACTAGGAAACTAAATAAAACAACATAAATATTAAAGGTACAAGTAACAATATTATAGTCATAAGTAGAAAAGGAGAATAGGATAGGTAGTAGGAAAAATGAGAAGAAGAATAGTAATAGAGCCTTACTAAATAGTATGATAGTGTTGTGGGACTTAGTTGTTTAGCAGAGTGGTCATTCATCTCTCCCTTATTAATTCAGCTGAAAAACCTATATCGTTTCCCTGATCAAATTACTCCTGACTGGCTTGGTTCTATTCCTCTCTGATCCTCGCAAACTAAGCCCTAAATGGAAGAGAATTATAATTCAAGGCTAGGCTATACGCTTTGCATCCAGAAGGTTTCAAATTCCATCTCCAGCATCTGTCTTAGCACCTTCCTTTGAAAGAACATCCTCTCCAGAGGTACAGGCACATTCAATCCTACAGACATGTAAACAATCCTTGAAAAGCATAGGTCAAGGTGTGCAGTGTCAGTTTTGGTTACATTATACATTATTTCTCCCTATTATGTTTGCTGCTGTGTTATTACTTCCTTTGCTTTTTGCTGTTGTATCTGTTTTAATCTGCATGCCATCCAGAGTGACTGCTGAGCTGGATAACCTTATAAATGCAGACCATCCATGCATCTATCTGTCCATCTGCTACACAGCTATTTGGAATTTCAGTGGGAAAATGGTGAAGCATCCACCTAGCCTTCTGGCTGAGCAGAAACCTTGGAACAATGACATCCTTGTTCATAATGCACAGCAACCTCCTTTGCAGTGTATCATATGCTAATTTATCTACATTACAATGGCACAAGACAAGGTGCCAATAGTTGCAGCTCTTCTTCCTCCTTGTTGTCAGCTCACTAAATGATAGGACACAGCAGATAAAGAGCAGAAAATCCCAAGAGCCTTTGACTTTGATATTCTGATTCAAATATCCAACCAAGTTTAGCTACATTTTTTTTTCCTTTTTGTTTTTTAGATTGCTTAAGTCGTCTTGGGAAGATGCCCGTTTTTATCTCAGTCATGGGGAAAGATGAACATTCAGAATCTGTTTTGCGACACTGCAGGCATATGGTAGCTTACAACATTTGACATTGTTAACTTATGATCTTACAATATTTAGTACAATATATGTGCTTCCAATTTTCTCTTATTTATTTGTTCAATTTATATAGCGGCCCATCTTACAAAACAACTAACTCTGGGCAGTGAATAACAAAACTACTGTAAAGCCTTTTATTTGCTTTCAATCTTTGTTTCCCTTTCTTTCAATTTTATAACTTTGAGTTTTAATTTTTATGTTTGTTTGCTCAATATTTAGCAAACCAGCATCTTCTTCTAAATAACAGACTACGTGGGCAATACCATGGAAACTGTTATATTCAATCATAGGCTGCATGGCTTAATTTTCAAGTTGGACATGGTGAAGGTGAAGTTTAAATATTTGCCCTCTGCATGGGCAGTACCTAAACTGCAAATTATGCCCATGTTTTGTTTCTAATATCTTAAAAATATTACTTTCATTACTGTTTATTAATTTCATTGTAAACCACTTAAATAATGGTGAGATGTCATATATAAATATCAATAAATGAAATTGATAAGTGGTATAGGTTGCGCTATAGAGAAGCGGACTTGCAGAAGGTATCTCCATGAAGTCCTAAATGTCCTAAGAGTTCAGGTAGGATATCCATGGAGATTCTCAGTCCTCCAAGTCATGGTTGTCCCAAAGATGGTTTTTCTAAAGGCAGCTGGACTTTGTTTTGCTTCTCATCCAAGAAGCATCTTCAGCACATCATTTTTAGGAAGGAGTCTATAGGAGTACGCAGTCCTGCAACTCAATTGCTATACAGAGCTGAAAAAGTGAAGAGTAGAAAAGCAATTTCTGAGAGCGAAATAAACGTTGCTGACTTTGTCTCTCTTGGTTTGCTTTAAGGATATGAGAGGAGTCTTACAACTGAAAGGACGCAACACAGCAACTTACTGTGCTGTAATCACAGGCACTGGAGAACTTACCTTTGGCTTGGGAGACATGGAAATCCACCAGCAGATAACAGAGCAATATGTAAGGTCTTCCTGTGTTCTTCTGATTACAGTGTCTAGTATTGATTGGATTTTCTTTAACATTGTCATTGTCTGCTTTCTTAAGGGCAGAGTGCAGCTTTTTTATATTCAACATACATCCTGTCCTCATTTACACTTTATCATAGGGCAGTCATGTGCTGACCATATCAGTTGTCTCCTTCAGTCACACGGTGTCATCTTCACCTGGTCCTGAGCCTCTGACTGGACAGCCTACAAGTCATCACTAGATATAAAAGTAGTTTCTCCTTCCTCCTCATCCCTTTAGCCTTTAGTCTATTATTATCCTATTACTGATCACTTTCATGGATATCATATATTTTGGATGTTTTACTGAATTGAAGCACAATCTGTCTTGCAGTTCACAGAGTGAAACTTCCATTTCTAGTATTTTCCAGTCAGGAGCTTTCAATGACCACAGAGAACGTGATTGATGATGGCAGAACATCTATGAAATAAGCAGAAGCCATTTTTTTTCTCCCAGTTTGTTGCATCAGGGTTTTGGCAGATGAAATATGGAGGCTGAAGGCACTTGTGTCATCCAATTTTAGCCTGCTGTAATTTCCCCCCGAAACAAAAAGATCCAGCAAATATTGGCCCTGCTAACTCTGACAGGTGTTGGGAGAGGGGACATGCAGCCTCTAGGCTGTATTGTGTACCCGTCTTCTAAATAAACAAAGAGTTGAAAAGATATATTATGCATTGTGTTACCCTAGAGATTTGATCACATCTACATTTTATCATTAGCTACATTTTCATTTATTTCTGTCTCATTTGCCTTTGAAAGATTTTAGGGTGGTAGAAATGATGTTTCCAAGTTCCAGGTTTGTTTTCCTACTGGAAAAATCCCCATGCTGTGCCCCTGTGAATCATTGCCCTCAAGGCTGGCCCAGGTAATCTGTAATTCTAGACATTTTTGCCTGTAGTGGATTTGTTCTTCTGAGCTTATGATGGACTGCTGAAAGCCACTTTTTCAATTCTGAGGCCTCCACCCACAATTCCTTCCAGATGTTGATTTCTAATACGTGCCTACCTGTGGAGATACAAGTAATCATGAGTTGCTTGATGAGTGAGGCATATTTTAGGACTCTAATGGAAGAGACGATTAACAGTGATTCAGATGCAACTCCACCCTTTCCCCCATGAATGCTGAGACCCTGCCCTTAACAGCTGATCATATTTTCTTAAGAAAGAATTATGCATGTCAGTAAATCACTTATTGCTAGACCTTTAAGAAACTGAAAATTCATTTTTGAAAGGGGAAAAACAGTGTTCATTCTTCTCACCGCATCACCACACTCTTGAGAGTCCCATTTGCTTTACCAAAGAAATGGTTGATTTGATTATATGCCAACAGATCATTGTTGACTCTTAGCAACTACCGGTACATAGATTTTTTTTTCTCTATGATGATCTTTCCCTAATGTGGTTCTTACGTTCTTCCAATGGTGCTCCCACCACCATTATACATTACCTATCTACTTTGCTAAGAGGGATGCAGTGGCTCAGTAGCTAAGACGCTGAGCTTGTCGATCAGAAAGGTCCGCAGTTCGGTGGTTCAAATCCCTAGCGCCATGTAACTGAGTGAGCTCCTGTCACTTGTCCCAGCTTCTGCCAACCTAGCAGTTTGAAAGCATGCAAAAATGCAAGTAGAAAAATAGGGACCATCTTTGGTGGGAAGATAACAGTGTTCTGTGTACCTTTGGCATTTAGTCATGCTAGCCACATGACAACGGAGACATCTTCAGACAGCTCTGGCTCTTCGGCTTTGAAATGGAGATGAGCACCGCCCTCTAGAGTCAGGAATGACTAGCATATATGTGTGAGGGGAACCTTTACCTTTACCTTACCTACTTTGCTGCCAAAGGTGCATTTTCAAAAGACAGGTGGACTTTGCTTTTCCTTGAAGGTATTTTGCTTCTCATCCAAGAAACGAAATGTCTTCAATGAAAAAAAAAGGCCAGTTTTGTTTTGGGCTTTGCCTTTGGGACAACCATGACCTGGATGACTGAGAATCTCCATAGACATTTACCTTGCTCCTAGTCATCCTCTTCTTTTTTCCCCCCTTCCAGTTTTCCTGCTTTCCCCATAGAGCTATGTCTTCCCATAATATGTCTGAACTAGGATCATTTGAACTTGATCTTTTTGTGCCTTGAGTGAAAACTCTGTGTTGATTTATTGGTTTTTCAGTATTTTCCAAGAGTCTTCTCCAATACCAGAGTAAAAAAACATTAAACCAAAGAAGTGAAGCCGGGGAGAGAGGAATAACCATTAAGTGATATATATTTTCTTATACAATAACAACAAAATTGCTTAGAATTTTTGTCGTCCTCAACCACATAAGCACTGGACTGTGTTTCCTTCTGTTCCTTTAAGCCAAATTTGAGACACAAGCAGGTTGCAGGGCAGGCAGGAAAACCTACGTCAAAGGTGGGTTTGTGTCTTTGCAATGCAATTTTGTCACAGGGAATTCCACTCTGATGTAGGCTGCTAGTCTATTTTCTGAGAATCAGCAGCTCAGTTTTCTCAAGTTTTAATGAAGACACAAAAGACTGTTAGGTGATCCCTAAAGAAAACTTAAGTCTTTAAAAAGGGGGGAAGGGGGAGGGACCTAGCTATAAGACCGGCAGTGCAGAGCAGAGCCTCGTCCATTTTGTGGTGTCACATTGCTCAGTTGGACTCTCCTTTAGCAAGGTTAGACCTTTGTCACCAGCTGCTTACTCAAACATGACTAATGCAATCTATCGAGCAAAATGTTCAGCTTGATTTGCTGCCTTAGCTCATTCATTTGCACGTTTTAGAGTTTAGACTGTATGGAAGCCAGCAGAGTTTATATCTGAGCGAACATACAAAGTGATTCTGGTGCACAGGTTATGGCTGTGCAGATACGGCTTGTAGAAATGCTGTTTGGGTAGATTACGTTGAAGAAGATGGATGTTGGCATTAGAAATCATGAGTTAGGCCAGTGTTTCTCAACCTTGGCAACTTGAAGATGTCCGGACTTCAACTCCCAGAATTCCCCAGCCAGCGAATGCTGGCTGGGGAATTCTGGGAGTTGAAGTCCAGATATCTTCAAGTTGCCAAGGTTGAGAAACACTGAGTTAGGCAACTTGGTTTTGGACTACAAATCCCACGGTCTGAATTTCAAGTGTAAACATAGGCAGGCATCCGATGTAAGGCAATTTCATACACACTCTCTTTTTCTTCCTAATATGATTCTGACCGACAGATGGTGTGGGAGTTAGTAATTCTCAAGCAGTCAGAGAAAGACAACACAATGATAGATCACACTGTTTTCTGTTGAAGGGACAGATTTTCCTCTTCCCAAAGTGGAAACCAAGTACACAAGACAGCCAAAGAAGAGGGCACAAACGGGCTTGATAGTAATTCCAGCAGTAGGATTTGTGCTTGAAACACTAGTTGCCCAAACTCTTTCATTATCATTCTAGCTTTTCTATAATAAGAACTACTGATTGGGAATTTTAGGATTCTTGTGTGCGTGCTTGGTTCCAGTTCTTACATGCTGAACATTGACAGATGGGCAAGTGTTGCTGTTATATAGCAGAGGCAGAAAAACATACATATAGTTCGCTTGAAACCGTGGTGCTTGTTTATATTCCATACTAGCTGATGACCTGGCATTGCCTGGGTATTTATAGACATCGAATGTTTGTCTGACAGGGGCCTTTCTTTCCCCCGCCACTGCCATGCCCATCATTCCTGCCCTCTCCCTTCCGCCTCCCATACGTTCCAATTTCCCGCCCTGGCACCTTGCCCCAAATCCATCAGGTGCTTCACCATTGGTCCACTGGAGGGTGAACGTCATGGCTGGCTTTTCCAGAGGAAGCTGTGAAGGAACTGACATCACAAACAATTGCTGCTCTAGGACGCCGCACTCACTCTCCTTAACAGCCCAGGTTCTCCCTTTTCCCTTCCATGACATCACAAACAATTGCTGCTCTAGGACACCGCACTCACTCCCCTTAATGGGCTAGGCATTCCAGAATTATGCTGGAACACAGACAAACAGACAGACAGACACCCCCCACACACACCAGGGGTGTCTCCCCCCCAAAAATATTTGTTTCCAGAGGATAAGTCGTCTGTTTAAGTTTGGTTGAAATTGCTCAAGGCGTTCCAGAGTTATGCTGGAACATACATACATACATACGTACATACATACATACATACATACATGCATGAAGAAGGAAGAAGAAGATGATGATGATGAAGTAGATTTTCCATTGCAGTGAAAGCTGTTACTTTTCAAGTTGAATATAGCCTACTTAAATGGCTGGAGATTGTTTTGCCAATCCTAGAACATTCTGTCTGAGAGGTAAAAGAGACATATGTGCATCCTCCTCTACTGAAACAGTAGAAGTGTAATAGCTATCTTCACAAGGTGAGTTGTAACATCAACCAACCAATAACCAGCAACATTTAAAGAATATGTATCTATCCCAGTGTTTCTCAATCTTGGCGGCTCTAAGATGTGTGGGCTTCAACTCCCAGAGTTCTCCAGTCAGCCATGGCTGGGAGTTGAAGTCCGCGCATTTTAGAGCTGTCAAGATTGGGCAACACTTGCCTATACAAAGTCTGATGTCTTACTACTAGGCAATGAATTTTTGTTATTGTATTTCCCTGCCACATTGAACCAGTTATTTGGCAGCTGGTGAAATTGACTTGAGTTCTGTCAGCTTACCTTTGGGCCAAAATGGTAGCAAGAATGAGTTGTAAACCTGTAAGTAAAGAAAGCCCAACTGATAAGTGGATGTGGGAGAGGATAGGTCTGTGATGAAGCGGGAGGAAGGTTTCTGGATGCACCCTGAGGACTGACATCCCCCGTTTCTTCCTGTATTCTTTCTTTTCCCTGTTGCCTGTTAGTCAAACTATTGGAGGCCACACAGAAGACCTGTGGAACCCTATTCAGAAAAAGCTCAAGTGGCAGGTTACTAATATGGAGCAACTCTAAATTAGTAATCTGTCACTAGTGATCTAACAATTTGAAAGATATCTAAAACCACTGTTCCAGAATCCAGATACTAGTCCAGATTCACTCAAGTCTTCTTTGATATACTTTGAAGAAGTATGTGGTTTTTGTCTTCATCAATTGGGGATGCTGAGTGAAAGTGGAAACAAAGAAAGTATAAACCACAAACTTCTTGGAAGCTTCATTATCAAGGGAGATAAATTCAGATTGGTGGTACAAATTACTCAGGAATACTTTTCTGTCCTTCAAGGACTTGAGGAATGCATATTAGTTTGGCCACAAGGAAGGGGCCCTGATCCTTCAGATAAAGAAGGAGAGATATGCACTTTGATTGTCAACTTTAATTCATTCAGACAGTAGTAAATTTGTGGGATGATAAAAAACATTAGCACATGGAGAGGAGAAATGTAGACGCGATATTGCATTATATGAGCTAAACAGTATGGAAGGTCCCAGGGCTGTAGGTTAGATGAAGATGTTAAGCAACATCCTAGAAGACAGTAGCAAACTAATTCTATATTACTGTGAAAACTCTAAACTGAGCCCAATGCAAAGGAGACGTCACTTTCATGCAAATGACAATATTGATTTAGGATAACACTCCCTCAAAAGGACTTGTTAGATTGATCATGGGACATGACCAACCTACAAAATTCATATCCTGCATTTGTCCCATTCATAGATTCTACTTGGTTTTTCCATTGGCAACTGTCTCCTGCTATTCCCTTCAGGTGTCACAGTTCAAGGAGAATCTGTGCTTGGCTCCAGTGATATGCATTGATGGGAATGTGCCAGTTTCTACCATTGAGTACATCTGTCAGATTGCCAGAGAACATCAATTAGCAGGTAAGAAGAGACATGATGGTACAGGCATGAAATACAGTCTCATTCTTCTACTTTTTTAAATAGTTATCATTACAAAGGAGCAGAATCTGGGGGCTCCAATGCAGCTTCCAGAGCCCCAAATGATGCTACTTACAAATGTAATCTTATGAGAGTTTATCTAATTAATCTCCCATCTGAACTACTCTGAAAATAAGACCACCCCGGAAAATAAGGCCAATCGGGCTTTTGAGTGCATGTGCTGAAATAAGCCCTCTCCCGAAAATAAGCCCTTCCCCCAAAATATTGCGACACAGCAGCAGCCAGGAGATGACCATGCTTGCCGCCTCCTGCACCTCAAAAATAATAAGACCTCCTTGAAAATAAGGCCAAGTGCTTAAAGAAAAGAAAATAAGACCCTGTCATATTTTTGGGGAAACACAGTATGTTGTTGCTTCCTTCTAGACCAGAGGTGTCAAACTCACATCATCATGGTATCATCACATGACATATTGAGACTTTTTTGCCCTTTGCTAAACCGGGCGTGGGGGTGGCCAGTACGTAATGCATCCAGCCCGTGGGCCTCAGGTTTGACAGTCCTGTTCTAGATAATAGTATTCCTTTTTGCCCTTACTATTGATTGGTGGATTTTGATACTTATTTGCTCTTCATTTGAGACCTTCATGCTTGTTAAACCTGCTTTTACAGTAAGAAGCTTCAGAATCTGTCCAAGGCAGCCCATTTGGCATATCAGCACTGGATAAACCAGTGCTTGCAATGAATTGGGTAGTTCCAACAATTTTGGTCACAGTGTTTAAGTTTTAATTTTTATTGTGAAATGCATCTATAGCCATGATGGTGAACCTATGGCACGTATGCCACAGGTGGCATGCGGAGCCATTTCTGAAGGCATGTGAGGCATTGTCTTGCCAGCTACAGCTGGCCAACTGATTTTTGGGTGTGTTTTGCCCTCCAGAGGCTTCCCTGAAGCCTCCTGGAGGGCGATAAACTGCCCAATGTGCAAACTGGAAGTTCAGGAAAGGACTTCAGAGAAGCCTGAAGCCTCCGTTGGGAGAAAAACAGCTCAACGGGCAACGTGGAAGTCCGTTCCTGAACTTCTGGTTTGCATGGTGGGGCATTTTTCGCCCTCCCTAGGCTCCAAGAAAGCCGTGCATGTGGCTTTAAATTATGGGGGTAGGTACACGAGCGAGTGCAATAGAGCACACACATGTGCTTTTGGTCCCTGAGGCGATAAATGTTCGCCATCACTGATCTATAGCATTTATATTATTGTTACCTATAATCTGTCCTAATTTTCATTCTAACATTCAGCCAGTATTAGGGTGCTAAGAAATATATTAGTTTGTCCACAGATTGAGGGAGAAATGTTGGGATCAAACTTGACATCCAGAACTCAACAAAGAAAGTAGTTTTGTGCTAATCAGACAATTAGCAAGATAAGTGTATCTTATCCAGGCACATTAATTTCAGCCAAATCCTTTCAAATGATCAGAACATGAGAAGCGTCTCTGACTAAAACTTCAAAGCTGTGTTTAATCCAGTGGCCAACCAGATTATCTTTTTTTTTCACTGTTGACATTTTAACAAAAAAGCAAAGATAGAAGCGTTTTGACTGATTAGGATGCTTTATATTTGTCAAAATCACTGACCAAATGCAATGCTTTTTTTCAAGTGTACTATGAACCCACAGATGTGAACAAAGCTTCAAAGCCTTTTCTTTCAGAGAGTTGGAGAGGTCTGACCTGCATATCTCCCAACTTTCGGGAACTCCGAGCCATCAGTCAGACCCTGGGAAATCCTGTGCCAACAGGTGAAGCACATTTGGCAATGACCGTAACAAAGAAGTATTTATCAGTTATAGCTTGGAAATGTTAAACTTACATTACATATTATCAGCCCCTGGTTAACAATTCCATACCATCTTTCTGCTTAGGAGTGGCTCCCCAAAGCCTTTGTTGCTAGTGAGAAAATTTTAGAGCTAACAAAGATGGTTTCTGGAACTTTATGTCTTTAAAACATGGAGTCTACCACTCAGCTATGTTCCTCTTTGAACCGTGGTGGCGCAGTGGTTAGAGTGCAGTACTGCAGAATACTTCTGCTACCTGCCAGCTGCCTGCAATTTGGCAGTTCAAATCTCACCAGGCTCAAGGTTGACTCAGACTTCCATCCTTCCGAGTTTGGAAAATGAGGACTCAGATTGTTGTGGGCGATATGCTGACTCTGTAAACCGCTTAGACAGGGCTGTAAAGCACTGTGAAGCAGTATATAAGTCTAAGTGCTATTGCTATCTGTGGCCCCTAAGCCAGCCATGATGAGTGCGTGAGGCACCACCACACATAGGGCCTTTTCTAATTTGCACTGAAACACAGTATCATTGGTGAAGAGAAAAAAGGAAATCAACTTATAACAAACAAAATTATTTTGCCCAAATAAAATTAGGACAACACATTTCAGCAATCAGGCTGAAGGGGCCGGTGCAACAGAGTACACTAGAGATGGGCAGTGGATAAATAACTTTTCATGACAGGGTAGTCCTGCTGACTTAAAGTTGGGTAGATAACATCTTGACCAAGCAGTGGGAAAAAGCTCTAGTCTAGGCCTACAGTCAGCTATAAAGATGGGGTATCTCTTAATATTGCTGATCTTCTGGCAGTTTTTGAATTTTTACTTTTTGTGAAATGAATTGATTTATCTGGGTCAAAGTTTTTCTTTATCAAGAGAATGTGAAAAAAAGCTCCCCCTCCACAGCTTCAACAATTTCAGCTTACTAAAACTTTTTTTCCTCTCAGTTACACTTCGGAATCCTTTAACATTTTCTGAAATAAATGATATCACATTTTTAAAAAAAAACATACAAAAATATATTTTTTAAAAACTATTCTTTCCTGTAGGAGAGATTCAGCCGGATTAGGAGTTGGTTAAAATAAAAATATTCAAAGAAGAAACCTGAAATGTTTTAACCAACCTTGTAATCTGTTTGAACGGAGAAAAACCTCTATTGGTAGCCACAATATGGAAACCAAATAATAAAAGCAAATCATAAATGACAGCAATAATTATTGCAATTTTAATATATTGTTTATTGAAATTTTTAGTCAAGTAAAAACACAAAAGAAAAATAAATATAAGAAAGAAAATAATAGTGAAAAAAGAAAAAAGAAAAGAAAAATGATAAAGAAGCAGCTTCTGAATGTCTTGAAAGTTGATCATAGATACATTTATATTTTTCCCCATCTCTAAAATTACATCATAATGTCTCTTTTTCCATAAGTTACCCTTTCTAACCTTCAAACCCATAAATCACAAGTTCATATTTTTTTTCAGCAGAAAGTCTATAAGGGATTTCCTTTCACTGAGACTTGCTGATCTACCATATTTTTTGGATTACAAGACGCACCGGAGTATAAGACACACCAAGATTTTGAAGAGGCAAATTAAAAAAAAGCTTTTGCACTCTGCAGACCTTCCAAAAATGGGGCCATTTTTTGACAAAAAAAGGCATGCATAAAGGGAATTAAAAAATATTTCAACTTTCATGGATTATTTATGTTTGAAATATAAGTGACCAACCAGGCTAGTAAATTATTTTTCAGTAGTCTATTGTTAGTTTTCCATGGCAATCTGATATCAGCCTCCCTATGTTTGAGATAACTGACAGCCACAAAAAACAGCCCATTTTTTGCTCATTCCACCCTCCAGCCCCAAGGAGCACTCTATAAGTCTCCTAAAGGCTATCCATGCCCTTTTTGTGACAAAAACGGGCCATTTTGGGGAGGTTTGCAGATTGCAAAAACTTTTTTTTTTAATTTGCCTCTTCAAAACCTTGGTGCATCTTATACTCCAAAAAATATGGTTCTCCTTTTTAGGAGTCAATCTGGAAGTATCATTTTTTTTCTGCCATTATATTATTCCAAAACAATTTCCTTCCTTTTATTGTGTTCAGATAGCTGAAATAATTCCACCATGACAGGATTTGAACTTCCAAAGGATTTAAATTCAGCACACATAAAGCTCTAATAGGACAGTTCTGGTGGGGAAGGGGATTACTATAGCAACTACAAGTTAACCTTAATATCCTTTGTCCATAGATTATTTGGAGCCGGTCAAATATTTGCAATTTATCTCAAAGATTTCTCATTGTGAAGATAATTATTGTCAATGGCACTATTCAGATATAGTTACTGATATACTACCTTATACCATTCACTCCCATATTTCTTTTGAAATGGAAATTTAGTACGGTAAATAATAAATTCTAATTTCTAGTTCCTCTTAGTGATATTGAAAAACCTCAAGTGAATGGTCTGATTATGAATTCAATGCTATCTTACTGGGTTTCACTCTTACATTTCTGGAATGGAACCTACAGATCTACCATCAAAGATGGAGGACATTATCAAGACTGCTATTGCTCTGGTTTATCCTTTATTGAGAGGGCTACACTGTGTGGTAGTAACTCTTGGTCAACATGGAGTCCTGCTGTGTGGCCGAAGCAAGGGTGGAAGTGTCTCTCTGCACCCTCAAACATGCTCTGAGGTAAAAATATGTGAAAAACAGATGGGAAAATAGTGAAACTAGCCTTTTCTTTGAAATGCTACAGCTATAGGCACTTGTAGGTGATTACCGTATTTTCTGGAGTATAAGATGCACTATTTTCTTTCAAAAAAGAAGCTAAAAATCTGTGTGCGTCTTATACACTGAATACAGCATTTTGCCTCCTGAAACACCGCCCCTGTCACCAAAATGGCCGTGCATAGCTTTTAGAAGGTTTTCAGAGAGCTCCTGGGGACTGGGGATGGAAGAAATGATTAAAAAACGGCCCGTTTTTTGACCCCCACCCCCAGTCCCCAGCAGCACACTATAGGCTTCCTAAAGGCTATGCATGCCGTTTTTTTTTTTTTTTTACAAAAAATGAGCCTGTTTTTGTGAAAAATAGACTGGTTTTTACTTGTTTTTGGCCACCACTCCCCCGGAGCACTCTACAAGCCTCCTAAGGGCTATTCATGCCCGTTTTTTGGGGAAAAAAATGGGCTCATTTTCATGGAAAATGGGCCATTTTGGGGAGGTTTGCAGAGTATTTTTTTTTTAATTTTCCTCTTCAAAACCTTATAATCCGGTGCATCTTATACTCTGAAAAATATGATAGTTTCCCAATATAAATAATAATTGGGAGACTACCTTGTGGTGGGTT